TATAACTATAATAATATATATAGCTAGCTAGTATTTAGAATACTAAAGCTCCTATATTTATAAGGTTTTTTTCTTAGTTTAGAATTCTTGAATTAAAAGATTTTTTTTTTGCTTTCTTAATTTAGAAACCCGGTTTTATAATATTATTCTAAACTTATTTTTATTTCTATAAAGAAAATAAAACTATTCTTATATATATCTTATATATAAATATAATTTTTATAGTACTATTAATATATATAATTATAAAACTATATATTTACTAGAGAAATTAAAAACTTATTAAGCTTTCTTTTATTTCAAGTTTTATAATTCTCTCTTTTCTTTTTTCTGAAATACTAATATAGATTATAAATATTATTACCGAGCTATAAATAGAGGTTTAATATTAAGCTAAAGTTATTTAGTAATAGAGAAATAGCCTCTTTTTTTTATAAGCTTATTCTTTTATAAATATAAAGCCGAAATTCTTTTTCCTATATTCCGAAAAATTTAATAGCTAGATTTATAAGTTTAATATTTAGCTTTCTTTAATTAAGGCCAAGCTATAAATTAATAATAAGGCTATTAATAATACTACTATTTAGTTCTATTATATTTATCTAAATCTTGAATCTTATATTTAAGTTAGAGTTCTTTTTTAGCTCTTTTAAATAGAAAATAATTAAATCTAGTTCTATATTTTAATTTTTAATTAAATTCGAATAAAGTATAGGAAATAGAAAACAAACTATATTTCTTTAAATAAATTCTATATAAGATATAGATAAGACTAAAATAATATTAATAAAATTATAGCTTTTTATTAAGAACTTAAATACTATAATTAAGAATAAGCTAATATAGTAATTAAACCTTTTTTAAACCTGTATTAAATTTATTAAAATAATATAATAACTAGTTAAATATTCTAATATATATAAATATATATAAATATTATAATTCTAGAAAGAAGTTTTATTATTTAAATAAAGATAATATTATAAATATATTAACTATTAATACTATTAGTATAATTACTAAGCCTTTATAATTCTTTTCTTCTCTTTTATATAAATAATTAAATATAATTTATAAACTTAATAAAATGCTAGCTATTTTAAAAGCAAAATAAATATATATATTATAAAAGTAATAAATACTAGATAAAAGACTATAATATTTAATTATATAAGAAAAAGATATCTTTATTAAAACTAAAATTTATAATAAATAAAAATAATAAAAAAGTTAGAATCTATATAATTAATAATTCTAATATCTTAATTAGACTTTATAGTTCTAATTCTAATTCAGGTTTAGATTTAAAGAAATTAGTATATTAGGAACTAATAAAATATATAAATAGGAGATATCAGAAATAAGATATATAAAGAATATATAAAATTATATAATTTGTAAAAGCTATAAAGAGCTTATTTTTAATACTCGGAATAAGCTTTTCTAAAGAAAGAAGTAATATTATACTCTATTGCTTTACTAGTAAATTTAGCGTCACGTGACCGCAATAATACATGTGGCTGGCTAGTATTTAGAATACTAAAGATCTTATATTTATAAGCTTCTTTCCTTAGTTTAGAATTCTCGGATTAAGAACTATTCTATCTGCTTTTTAAGCCCAGAAACCCGGTTTTATAATAATAATAATTTTAATTACTATTCTCGTTTTAAGAATTTTATTTTCTATAATATAAATAAATATAATTATTATAGAATATATTTATTTCTTGGATTTTATAGTTCTAAATACTTATATATTTTATAGCTAAACTTATTAAAGTTATAATAAGTCGATTTTTTCCGATTTAGGTAAGTAATAGTATAATAATTATTTTTATAATAAATAAAACAAATTATATTCGATTTTATAAATTCTAATATAGGTATTATATTAGATTCTATTATTATATCTTTATTATTCTGGTTTTATAAATCTTATAATAGAAATATATTTCTTTTCTGTTTTCCTTTATTATTTTCTTTTACCTTTTTTCTATTTCTTTTCTTTTATTATTCTATTAGCTTATTATTATATTTTTATTAAATAAATAAATTTAAGTTATTTTAAATTCTTATAGTTATAGAAATAAGCTTTTCTTCTTCTTATAAAATATTTCTTTAATAATTAATCTTATTTCGAATCTTTTATTTTAAGCTATTAAATAAATTATTTTATTCTTATAATATACTTATATATTTTAAATTATTTAATAAGCTATTTAAATAAAATATAAAGCTTTAAATATTCTAATTTAGCTACTATTTAATATTCTTAAATTTAGTAAAATATTATTATTATAGTTTTCTAGATCTAAAATAAAATTTATTATAAACTTAATAAAGATTTCCTAATTTATAATATTAATACTTACTAATTACTTTTTATATTTCCAGATATTTCTGGCTATATTCTTAAAACAAGAAATATAATATATTATTTTTATTATATTTATAGCCTAAATAATTCTATTATTTTAGTTTTATCTAATAAAAAAAGTCCTAGGCTTCTTTAATATTCTTCTTTCTATAAATTAGTAATTCTTGGGTTTTTGAAGCCTTTTAAATTAAGAGTATTACTAGAAGTATAACGGGTTCTATATTAGATATTCGAATATTTTTAAAATAATAAATCTAAGCTTTTAGCTTTTTTTAATTTTCTTTCTATTATATTTTTGCTTTTAATTTAGTAATATAATAACGAGCCGCTACTAATTTTTCTATCATTATTATTATTCTATTAGTTAGTTTTAAAGGTATTTAAGTTTTATTTTTTTTTCTAATTAGATACTTTTCTAGATATCTAACTAAATTATTCTAGTAATAATAAAAGTATTTCTTTTAGTTAATACTTTAATTATTAGTAATTTTATTTATTAATAGTTTAATTACTTTATAATAAATTACTTTTTAAAGATTAAATTAATTAGGATATAAGATATATAATAATAAAATAATAATAAAATAATTAAAATAATTAAACTATAAAGTAATACTTATAAATATAACTAATTTCAAGAATCAATTTTAATAAAAAACTAATTAATACTTCTTTTTAAAGCTAGAAATATTTCTTTATATATTTCCTAGTATTTAGCTAAATATATAAAGCCTTTTATTTAGTTAAGAAATATAATTTCAAGTAATTCATATAATTCTAATTATAAGCTTTATCTAAAATAAGAAATTAGATATATAATATCTAATATTTATTTATATATTATTATATATATTTATTCTATATAACTATTTCTTATAATAATATTTGTTTTTATTTCTTTATTATATTATTAAAAGTTTATAAAGAATTAATTTAGGTTCCTTAATATAGTTTTATATAATTTAGTTAATTATAGAAATAAGTAAATTAAAAAAGAAATATTACTTAGAATACTTTTAAAACTCGCTTAATTTTTCTAAATAATTTAAAACTAATATAAGAATATATTTTTCTTTTTTTAATTTAAATATTATAAAAGTTATAATATTATAGATTATTTTTATATAATTAATAAAAAGTATAAAACTAATATAATGAATTTTAAAGTATATAAACTTAATATATTAAATAAGTAAAATAAAATAAAGTAATAAGTTTTATTTATATTTTACTTATATTTTATTTAAGTTATTTATAAATAATATAAGTAATATAAGTAAATACTTATATAATAAATTAGCTTAATTAGATAAGCTTCTCGTTTAGCTTTATTCTAATACTATTTCTTTACCTAATTATATAGTAATAGTATTTAGTAAATAAGTTAAAAGTTAAGAAGAAATTAAAATTCTAAAAAGAATAACTAGTTTATTATTACAGAAAACTAGTATTTAGCTAGTTTTATATAAGCCCTAACTTATCTTTGCGAGGGCTACTTAATTAATGCCTTTATTATTTAATTATTATTAAATAAACCTTAATTTATTATTGTCACGTGACGGCTACTCATAACTATTTATATTACTCATGAGTATATACTCTACTCTACTCAAATTTTTAGAACATTACGCTACTCATATTCTACGCACGCTACTCATGAATATTCATGAGTAGTATGAGTAGCATGAGTAGTTCTTTGACACACTGCATGAACTGGAAAGTCCTAGGATTCTGGAGAGCGACTCTTGGTGAGGAGCTGGGAGCTGAGACGCAAGCTATACTAGCAGTCGTGAGATCCATACACCGACAACGATCTAGTGGCTTTCAGTGACTCATACAGACGGCAGAATCGTATTGGCGGTTGATATCTAAAGTGGCTATTGGCAGTTGATACTCAAAACGTGAAGGAAGGATCAGGCAATTAGGGGAGAGGTATACAGCGGCGTTCAAAAGCCAGTAGGCTTTGAGAAGATTCATGTAGATCCTGGTATGGCAAGACCGCACCGGCAGTTGAAACTCAAAATGGTAACGCGAGAAGGATCAGTTGAGTAGGAGAGAGGCATAGAGTAGCATTGCCACAACTAAGGTCTAGCAAGGCAGAATTCTATCGGCGGCTGATACCGAGACAAGAATTCTGCCTTACTGAGATCTGCATAAAATTGTACAAAGTCTTTGGATGCAGCATTACCACTACATGTTTGCCCTTAGCTAATCCTACACCTTTTATTTCATCAGTGGGTTGGAACTAAAAAATAGGAGTGTAAAGGATCACGTTTTATCAAATGGAAGCATTTGGAGGTTCATACATCTGTGATGTGTTGCCTGAATCAATAAAATCCCCGTGGCACTTACCGCGGGCGCCGGATTGATATACATGAATGTGACGTGTGTCTGATACCGGGAGAACCAGAACGTACATCTCCCAGCTGGACTTGAGGCTAGGACAGACAGTGGATCATGTACGGTTGAGGTAACCGAGTGCCTATGCAAAAAACAAAGCCAAGATAAAGAGACATTCCCAGTCATGATGAGAAGACGATTCCTTCCGCATTTTGTGAATGCTTGTCAGCGTATTATTGACTGTTTCAATTCTGTTTCCGTTCAAGATAACGTCGTGCTTGACTTGCTCAGCAAGCTAGCTGACTTTCTGGATATATGTGGGGACTTCAGGAATGAGATGATGGTTCGAAGATTCGTCTTAATAAAACACAAGGCATGGTATGGAGAAACTCACCCAGACACTGTAATATCAATGGACGACCTGGTTGTTACGCTTGGACGTGGAGGAGAGCTGCAAGAAGCGCTACCGGTGAAGCAAGCTGTGCTAGCTAAGCGGCAGCAGATCCTCGGCAAGGACCATCCTGACACCTTGAGAACGATGCACGATCTGGCGGCGACGCTCGCAGATTTTCTGCGGAGGTTTTGCGTCGCAATGGATTCTGGAGCATCATCTTTGATGGTTGTCGCTTGATCAATGGCCGCATTCTGCAAGACAGATCTAGTTTTATAGCATAGTACTGCTTGGATGATAAGGATGAGTAGAAGCCCGGATATCAATCATTCAGGTAGCACTCTAACAAACACAGGGAAACAGAAGCTGGAGACGGTCTACATCTACACAGCGTGAGTCTTCGAGACCAGGCTCAATACTCGGCCAGGTCATCCTGATGCGCCGTCTCCTTCGACCGCAGTGGCTGCTTCACCCACGAATACTCATATTTCCGATCGACAAACCTCAAAACCTCCGGATTCACATTACTAGTGTTAAGGCCCATTTTGTACTCTCCTCCATCAGTAGGCGGCGGTTGAAGCGGCCACCAATACAATCTACACTGCGTAAGTCTCTCCCAATCAAATGGGACGGGAATTGTTTGACTTACACGCATCCGCATGTGTCGCAGAAGTTGAATGAGATGTCTCTGTCTCCCCAGATATACTGCTTGGTAACTGCATTCGGCTTTGTTTCGATTTTGACTTCGTCTGGGTGGTAGTATCCCCACGCTGCCCCATAGCGGCGACAAATGGTGCATTGGCAGTGGTTAATGTGGTCAGGCAGTCGTGGGACTATGACGGTGATTGCGCTACAGTGGCAGCTGGAACGGATGGGAGTGGATTCGTCAGCCATGTTTTCCGGCTCTTCCTCGCTCTGGGTTTTGTGAGAGAGAGAGCTGAGTTCCGGCAAAGTGGAATCACTTGCTCCTTGGCCAGGAGAACTTGCCGCCGTTGGGTTCATTTGATCAATTTGTTATTTGACGGGTAGCTATTGAACTGGGTACGTTTATGTAGCTAGTAGCCATGGCTTGACTCATACCGCAATTAATAATGCCAATGGCTCCTAGCGCAAGGCAGCATCTGTCTGACAACTGCCGCATTTGGACGTGTAAAAAGCGCAGCGACCTCCGCGAATATTTCCGTCTGCTGTTCTGATATATCCGCACGACAATTTCACATGCGACCTCGGTAGGACTTCACCTTTATGCTTTCTGTCACCAGTGCCAACTCCTCCGCACCCACCTCAACCCCATCGCCTTCGCCAGAATGGTACAGTAACCGACATCCCTGCGTGGCGAGAGTCCCGTAGTATAGGTACATCACGAAAATCTCAACACAAATTGACACTATTGGGCTCGTAGCCCCCTAGTAGGACTAAATTTCACCTATTTTTGATTCATACCTGTATATATATCCGTTACGCTGCGGCCAGCCTTGGGTTTCGCTTAAATTAAAGGAACATCAAAAGTCCTACTTTTCCAACTCCTCCTAATCTCTAGAATATTAATAAAATTTAAGCAAAACTTGCTTTATATGTAGTTTTAAAAGGTTTCTAAAAGTGTATAAGAGCATTTATACCAGTTATTTGTTTGTGGAAAGGTATTTGAAGTTGAAGTTGAGAGAAAAATCGTAAGCAAAACCCAAGGCTGGCCGCAGCGTAACGGATACGAGGGAGCTTTTGTAGGGGTTTATTAATTATATTTTAATTGTCTTCACCTTTGACCTTACTACACTACACACGAATTTTCGACACCTTAACGATGTTCTTATACCTAGAATTTCTGATAGTATAAGCAATAAAGTAATTTACTTAGTTTAGAAGCGTTTTACTAAATGTTTTACTTAAGAGGCGGGGAAAATATAAAAACGACACTGCCCCCCCCCCGGGGTGTCGATTAGGGGTGTCGATTGGAATAGGGGTATTAATAAAGTTGTAATTGGCTACCTAAGCTCTTCAAAAATCTTGAGTTATATTTTTTAATATAAGTATAATCCCAGTATTATAATCACGTAATTCCTAACTTATAATAAAAAGATTCCTTAAGATAGAATTTTAATTTAAGTGTGACGGCTGGCGTAAGGGCATGATCTGCCAAGGACAGGATATCGGAAACAGGCACAAAACGAAGCTAAGCCAAGAATTACTTGGACGGAACAATACTAAAGGTCGAGGCATCCTCCCTACTTTGTTCCATAGCTTAGTATTTTCCAATACATGAGATTCTTTGAACTTTGAGCCTTCGACCATTGCATTGATCCCGCCGTCACATTAAGGAAGTTTATATACTAATTAATTAAGTTCTGGGTTTTAAGCCTTATAAGGCCCTATAAAATATAGGTTTATAGGGCTCTTATATCTGGTTTTAGGTACTTATTCGCTAAATTTCTAGGCTTTCTTAAGCTTGCTTTTAGGCTATAAAATGTGAAATTTTGAACTTTTATAATTTAAAGAGCTATTACTAAATCAAATTTTATAAAAAGTTTATATTTGAATAGTACTTAATAAGCGCTATAAGGGAATAAAACAAGTATTAAATTATATTAATTCCTTATAAAGTTGAATTAAATTAAAGAAAAAGCCAGAGTTTTGCTATTCCTGTCTGAGCGCTTCTACTTTAGGTTAGTCTGGCCCCCAATCCACACCCGGGGGTGGGGGGTCGTTTTACATTTTCCCAAGAGGCAGGAGACGACCTGGACCGCAGAAACGGCTCTCGGCTATCCCTTCGTCTGTCGCAAACTGTCCAGTGCTAGCAAGGGTGCTTCCCGCACTACAGGGAGGGGCTCGCTTGGCTCCCGTAGTATAATAATTATATACCTTTATATATAAATTTATTAGTAATCTATATTACTAGTATTTTATATAAATCTTTTAAATATAAGCCCTAGTAAATAATAAGAATAATTTTACCTGCTTTCCTTCTTTTATAACTATATCTATTTAATTACTTTAGTCTATTTTTTACCTATAAGCTTTTCTAAATAATTAATATATAAATATATAAAAACTATATATACCGGAAAAGCAAGAATAAGAATAAATAAATCTATTTATAAAAGAACTCTATATATTTCTGAATATTATTATATATATAGGAGTTTATTATAAGCCTTATATAAAGATATATTAGAATCCAGACTTTAATAAAGGTTCTTTATATTTAATTATATACTATATCTCACTTATTTAATTTAAATAAATTAAGTATTACTATTATATTTCATATCCTAAAAATAATAAACGAAATAAATACTATTTATCTTATAATAAGATCTAGTAATATAAGCTAGAATTACTAGCTTTAAAGATTTAAGCCTTTTTTTAGAGATATTACTTGCTTTTTTCTAAAGTAAATATTAATAAGATTATAGTATATTTTTTAGCTAATCTATTTCTCTTTTTTTCTTTTTTCTTTTACTATTTTACTAATTATTAAAGATTTTTATATACCTATAAGATACTAAAGAAATTAATTAAATAAGGATATAAGATCTATAGAATTACGAATTATAGATATATATATAATTAGATATAAAGCTTAAGAGAAAAGAATTTATGAGATATATTTAATTTTCTAGACTTTATAAAAACTACCTGTTTTATATAAAGTCTTATATTTTCATTCCTATAATAATATATTACTTTACCTTAATTCCCTTATTTATAGAATTATAAGCTTATAAATTCAATATAATAAGTATTATATATCTATATAAATAGTTCTTTTTAGAATTATTAATAATTAAGAAATAATTTATAAAAAAGCTAAAATAAAATATCTTTCTTATAATAATAATTAATAATATACTTTATTTAGCTTAATAAAATAATATTATTATTTTGGAATTAAATAATATTTATATAGTAAATAAAGTAAAGAACTTTAGAAGAAAAAAAAAGAAATATTTAGTAAAAATATTAATAAATAAATAACTAGTTTATAGTATATTTGTAATGTGTATAGGGTCGCACGTGACTTAAGGGCATGTAACGAACCTCGGATATTGCGGGTATTAATTAGGGAGTTCGGTAGCCCTTTAATATCCTAACTAACTACTATTTATATTATATATATTAGGCTTATAAATTACTAATTATATATATGCTATTGGAGCCTCCTATTTAGAGAGGGCTTCCCTGGACCTTATAGGAGGGATAGAGATTAGTTCTATACTAAATTTAATACTATGGTTTTATAATATACTAATTTATTCTATTATCTTATTACCTACTAATAAATACCTTATAAGCTAATCTCTTTATCCTTAAAGAAGATAGTTTAATAAGTAATTATATCTCGAAATCTGCGAAATATATAACTTCTCGCCAAAGCTATTCCTATAGAGAAAGTTAATTAGATTAACCCTAATATAAGTAATAGTAAAGGCTCGTCTAATACTTTTAACGGGGCCCCTCAGGAGCCTCCGAGAGCCAGTAATAATAACGGAAATAATCCCGGTAATAATTAAGATACCGAGATTAATGCCCGAGTTACTACTGCCCAAGCTACGGAATAGGGCTTATATACTAAAGTCAAAGCGCTCTAATGAAAGCAAGAATTAGTAAATATAATTAACTAGCATATTCTATAGTTAGAGTAATATAAGGGTACCCTCAGGGATACCTTACGGTTTACTATATCTTATAGAAACTCTATTCGTGAGTCTATTCCCTCTTCCTTAATAATTCCTACCAGGGAACTTCCTGAAATAGGATTAGAACCCACTTCTTTTCCTAATATAATAAGCTTTAAGAGTAATCTTAATACTATTTATTAGGAGCCACTATATAATATCCTAAAAATATATTTAAACCAAGAGAAGCTTCTCAAGGTCCGGATACCTGACTTATATTATAGAAAGTCCCTTAAGAAATAGAGAATATTTATATTCTTCTGGGAGGCAGTCTTTAGGACCTAGCCTTAGACTTATAATAAATACTCTTCTAGAGTTAACTTTATTATAAGTGCCCTTAGGAATAAACCTTATAATACTTGGGAGGCTATAATAAAGTAAAGCCTACTATTATATAAGGTCTATTAGGAGTAATTCAAGGCCTACTTAGCTAATATACTCCAAGTACCTCAAACCCATTAATAAGACGCCTTTAAGAAACTCCGAGATCTTTATTAGAAAAATAGTAAGATAATTACCGAGTTATATACTTAGATAATTAGTCTCGAAGTTAACTAGGACCTATGCCCTAAAAGAGACCGGGTCCGGACTCTTAATACTACTTTATCTAACTATAAGACTTATTAGATACTTATATCTATTCTCTTAGGAGATAAGGTAATATCTATTTCCGAATAGCTTAAGAAAGCTTAGAAAGCAGAATATACTACTTATCCTAAATTAAGGAAAGTAAAGGCAAGGGAGTCTAGTAAAAGTAATTCTGCCCCTAAGAACTCTAACTTAGCGAATTCTGATTTATAAGGCTATTAAAAAAGGAAGAATAAGTTCCGAAAATCACGTAAGAAACCCTTAGGTAGTACTTTGGCTTCTTTAAGGCCTTAATAGAGTACTAGTTCCACTTTAGGTATGGTTTATTAGACTTATAAATAGAAAGAATACTTCTTAGGAAATATAAAGTATTCCAAGTATACCAAATAGGCTTAGCAGAACTCTAATAAGGCCAAAATCATAGAAAAGTCAAGGCGTCTATAGAAGCAAGTTAATACTATTACTATAGAAAAGCACTCTAGAGAAGACTTTCCTAAGAAATAGGGAAAAGAGAAAGCCAAATCTTAAATATTAATAATTTTGGCCATAATAAAAAAGATATATTACTTTATATAACTATTTAAGCAAGATTAATATAGCCAGAAGTAAATATCTTAGAGATATATAGTAGAC